CTGCAAAGAAACCATTACGGAACTGCTGTATGATATATGATGGAACTTCTTGTTCCTATGTTGTCTTAAGTCATATGTTTGTTTTTGTTGATGTGTTTATGTGTTTAAAATAAAAATTAAATTTTTTTTTAAAAAAAGAGAATAAGCAGGCATGCAATGGGGAATGTCCAGGCTGTTTATGTAACATACGGGGACTGCCAGCACCACTGTATTAAGCTTTTGATGTGCATTACCTGTGTTGTGGCCTGCTTAGTATCTTGGGAAGTTTCCTCTTCAATGGATGTAAATGCAAACATGAATTTTCTTCTTGCTAATTGGCACAGGGCAGGGTGAGCATTCCAAAGGAGAGCAGAAAAGGAGAGCGCGCTTGTGTTCATAGGATTTTCCATTTAGTATTCACTTTGTTTAATGACAGAGCTACTGGCCCAAGTTGTGATTGTATGGTTTTCTTCTGCAAAAATTTCCATCTCTAAATCATCTAATATGTCTTTCTTGCTGCAAAGTCAGATGACCTAAAGAAGAGAGGAGGGCCCCACGTAGCAGCATTAAGGTAAATTAGCCCTGTTGTTTTGATTTGGCCATCAAATAGAATCAGCAAAATTATCCTAGTTCCTAACTTGATGTAGTGGCAATCTACACATTTAGGCTTAATATATATATATTTTTTTGCAAAATAAGCTATTATAGTTTCTTCTACAAATTATGGTTTTACAAATGCAGATTTAGCTCTATGAAATTGCAGCCTGAAGGTAAAGTAATGGTTGGCATTTCATTTTCCCATTTATAACAATTGTCCTGGCTTTGCTCATTGTCCAGCTAGATCAGCTTGAAAAGTGTGTGTATTTATTTAACTATATGTATAGCCCATCCCTCTCTACAATTATTTACTTTGAACCATGAACATGTCCTTTATGAGGAATTGGGCCCTATTTACTGTATTTTTTTGGACTGTAAGGTGCACCGGTGTATAAGATGCACCAAAATTTCAAAGAAGTAAGGAATAAAAGTTTTTGTCCTCTCTGGCTCCCAGGAGCACTCTGCAGGCTTCAGCAGGGCTGGGGGAAGGCAAAAATGCCCCCCCTTTTCACAAAAACAGAGGCGTTTTGGCTTTCCCCAGCCTTGCTGAAGCTTGCAGAGTGCTTCTGGGAGCTGAGGGAAGGCAAAGATGCCTCTGCTTTTGCAAAACAAAGGCCCATTTTGTGCAAAAATGGGATGCGGGGGCAGGCTTCGGGAGGCCAAAAATGTCTCTATTTGTTGTATAAGACGCACCAACATTTCCACACTCTTTTAGGGGGCGAAGGTGCGTCTTATACTCCAAAAAATACAGTGGTTATAAAATTTCAAAAGCAAACGCCAAAATGCCTCCTTGCTTAGACAATAGATAGAGCTGAGATGCCGCAAACTCACCTGTCTTCTCTCTCATCTTTTAGAAAAATTCTTTTTGAAGAATTCCGGTCTTGGCTTTCTGACGTGATCCAGGTAGAGCTGGAACCAACCATTGATCTGTCTTGTGCTAAATATGAATATACAGGTAAGCCAGGAATTAAAAGAACCCTGAAGGTATGGATCTATTGTGTTGCTAGAAGAAACTGTATGATCCTGAAAAATCCAGGAAAGATAATTGAGCAGCGGATTTGTAAGCACCTAAAAATTAATGACGATTATTAGAAGCCAGCATGGGTTTCTTAAAAACATCATACTGGACAAACCTTATTGTGAAAGGGTCCTTGGTACTCTGAGCTTGCTTGTTTTCTTGCAGTTGTTTCATTACCCTAACTAGGTAATATCATCAGTGCTAGTAAGGAGTGCAAGCAAGCTCAGAGATCACCAAAGAACCCTCATTTCAACCCTGAGCTACAAATATTGAAACCTTATTGTCTTCTTTGACAAAGTGACTAAGTTAATGGATCAGGGAAATGCTGGAGACATAATTAACTTAGGCTTCAGTAAGGCATTTGACAAAGTAGACGATATCCTGGTCTTGCTAAAGCAGAACAGTGTGGGATAGACAGCATCACCACCCAATGGATCTGTAATTGGCCGACCAACTGCACTCAGTGTGTGATCCTCAATGGAATTGCATGTACGTGGAGGAAAACATGCAGTGAGGTACCCCAAGATTCTATCTTAGGCCTAGTACTCTTCAACATCATCATAAGTGATCTAGATAAGAGGGTAAAAGGTGAACTCATCAGATTTGCAGACAATACCGAGCTGGGGGGAATTGCAAACACTTTGCAAGATAGGCTGAAGATTCAGAAGGATCTTGACAGAATTGAGCATTGGGCAGATGGAGTACTGCATCCAGTTCTGCTCAGCACAATATTTTTTTTAAAAAAATGCTGAGACTCTAGAAAGAGTGCAGAGAAGAGCAACGAAGATTATAAGGGATCTGGAAGCTAAATTGTACAATGAGCGATTAAGGGAACTTGGTATGACAAGTCTAACGAAGAGAAGGATTAGGAGAGGTAGGAGATCTTCCAATACTTTAGGATTTGTGGCCGAGAAGAGGGGGTTAACCTATTCTCCAAAATGCCTGAGGCAGGACAAGAAGAAACGAATGGAGTTTTATTAACGAGAGATCCAACCTAGAAGTAAGGAAAAACTTCCTGACAGTGAGAACAATTAATCAGTGGAACGACTTGCCTCCAGAAGTTGTGGGTGCTTCATCACTGAAAGTTTTCAAGAAGAGATTGGACAAACATTTGTCTGGGATGCAATAAGGACTCCTGCCTTGGGCAGAGGGCTGGACTGGATGTCCTCCAAGGTTTCTTCCAGCTCTGGGATACTATGAAATATGGGGAAGATACTGTTGAATTGAAATGCAAACAATAGATTTGGACTTGGATGCGAAGAATTAGCACTGATCTGATGGTGCATAATCAACTCAATCGCCCTGCTTTATTTTAGCTGCATTGTGTGCCTCACGCAAACCAATTTCCTGTTTTGTTCCAGATACCCTGCTGTGTCATGATGATGAGCTGGAGGGGCGGCGAATCGCATTCATCCTTTATCTTGTACCCCCCTGGCATAAGCACGATGGGGGCACTTTGGATCTCTTCTGTACAGATGGTAGGATTTAGTTATTTTTGCCTGCTTTGGTAGATTTTATATTGCACCTGCCCTTCAGGAGCTCAAGCCAGCTCAGCTTCAGGGATCCATTATTCCCTTCCTCCCCCACCTCCATCTCTTTGATTGACACCCTATATCAGTGGTCACCAACTGGTGGCCCATGGACCAGAAAATTTTGCTGATTCCCAGAAAGATTATTTCTATTTTTTATATTGCACTAAATCAGGGGTCTTCAAACTATGAGCTGGATACATGCAATGAACGCTTGTGTCGCTGCAGAGAGTCTCCCCCTTTGGGGTCTTTGTGTGTGGGTCAGAGGGGGTCTGAAATTCCAACTTGGGGATCTGCTTCAGCCTCCTAGTGTGGGTTTTTTTTGGAAAAGGCTGGAGGGAAGTGCCACTGATGGCAAAGAGCCAGAGGGCCTCATTCCAGTGGGACTGCATCATGGCCTAGAACTGGCTGATCATCTCAGCCCAGTGAGCCTCCAGGTGCTGGCACATGGCCTTGCACTCCCGCAGGTCTTCCCTCTGCTTGGAAGCAAATGACCAGCTCCGTCTGCAAGGAATATAAATCCTTCCATTCCCCACTATACTGTCAGAGTTGGAGAGGCTTCTTGGATAAGAAGAAAAACATCTGTGAAGTTCCCAGAAGATGACCTAATTAATTTACAAGCCTCAAGACAAAGTTCAAAAGAAATCCATTCATTTATTAGGATCAAAATTCTGGCATGTTCTCCTGCAGAGCCAAAACTGACTTCCGCTTAATTGCGTTTGAACTTTACCCCTCCCCACTGTCTGGGTCATAAATCACATTCACCAACAAGGTTGTAGAAATATGAGGTCCGACTCTGGCCGAAAGTATTCATGGAATCCTCCCTCCAATGCCAACCTGATAATATAGTCATGGCAACGTTTTACAAGTTGACAACCTCTTCCAAAGAAGAAATAAGGAAGTCTAGTTGCCTCCTGAAAAAGCATCTTTGCGACAACTGTGACCTAGATGACTGAGAATCTCTATAGACTTTCATACTCCAGGCTCCCCATCTTTAGATATGTACTGCCATAATGGGCTGCTATACCGCAGGTGGTTTTCACATAATTTTACCACCGGTTTGCCATGCACCGAAAATGTATGCGCTTTGCTCGCACACACGGCTTGCACGCATGCACGTGGCTTAGGAAACATGGCTAAATAGGACAGCATAGCGCCGAGCGGGTACCGATTCATCTGAACCAGTCTGAACTGGCTGAATACCACCACTTTGTGATACTTATGGTATTAAGCTGGATTGAGACTTAGACCCTTCTAGATTGTAAGCCGAGTCTTGTTTGTGAACTTGGTCCTTCTATTTTCACCTTTCTCCAAGGGTCACTTTTCCTCTCTTTCCTTCAGAAGCCAGACAAAGCCAGAAAGTGGTGAAATGTGGAGGCAGTGGGAGAATTCCAGATAGTTGCACTTACTGGTGTGTGTCTTGTATGTGTCCTTGTCTCTGGCAGATCATTTCCAGCCTTTGCAGATTGTCAAGTCTTTGGTCCCTTCCTGGAACTCGCTGGCTTTCTTTGAAGTATCACCAGTCTCCTTCCACCAGGTAAGCAATTGTTCCTTCTCCTTATGTCGAGACTCTAGAAAGAGTGCAGAGGAGAGCAACAAAGAGGATTAGGGGACTGGAGGCTAAAACCTATGAAGAACGGTTGCAGGAATTGAGTTTGTCTAGTCGAATGAAAAGAAGAACCAGAGGTGACACAATAGCAGTGTTCCAATGTTTGAGGGGCTGCCACAAAGAAGAGGGAGTCAAACTATTCTCCAAAGCACCTGAGGTTAAAAAAAGCAACGGGTGGAAACTAATCAAGGACAGAAGCAACCTGAAACTAAGGAGAAATTTCCTGACGGTTAGAACAATTAATCAGTGGAACAACTTGCCTCCAGAAGTTCTGAATGCTCCAATACTGGAAGTTTTTAAGAAGATGTTGGATAATGATTTGTCTGAAGTGGTGAGGGTTTCCTGCATAAGCAAGGGGAGAATCAACCTAGAAATGAGAAATTTCCTGACAGCAACTTTGTCTGAGAAATCAGTGCTTACATGTTCTTTCGCCTTTTCCTCTATCCCAGGTGTCTGAAGTCATTTCCAGAGAGAAATGCCGCCTGTCGGTGAGCGGCTGGTTTCACGGCCCCTCGGTTGCGAGGCCGCCACGTCATATCGAGCCACGGATTCCACGAAGCCCCCATATCCCCCGTGATGTAAGCTGCTTGCTACCTGCAGCATTGTGGCGTCGTTCTACAAGACTTTTGATTCTTGCTCTGGCCTACCAAGGAGAAACTTTAACATTTAAAAAGGCCATTGTTTCTGCCTTTGCTTTCATGTTTCATCTTTAGCCTAATATTTGGGGGGGGGGGGGCAAACTGGGAGTAGTCATTTCTTCAAATAGAAGCTGCAGTTTGTAACTTTGTGTCTCTGTGATACACACTTCAGTGTGGTTATGAAGATGATGTGTTGACTACTGAGTGCCATACATGCTGGACCAGTATTTTCTGGGCCTGGTCAACTTTAAGACGCTTGAGTTGGCTGAATTCTGGGAGTTGAAATCCATACATCTTAAAGTTGACTTAAGTTGAGAAACACTGTACTGGATTATGCATGTCAAG